CGCTTTTTTATTGAGCACAAAGTTAGGATAGAACTAACGATTGTCCGGCTGGGTTTTTTATTATGGCGCAGCACAGAAACCCACATTTAAAGACAACACTGGGGCTGATAGCTGGCGATAACATTATCAACAAACACACCTAATCTCCGATAACCGGGTGATACGTTTGTGTTGTGAGGTTGTCTTTGGTTTGGCGAGTAAAAAAAACAAACGAAAGACAGAAATCAGGCCATTTTTAGTTTGTCATTTCAAGAAAGGTTTTTTGAACGTGTTGCTTCCTTGTCACATGTACACGTACACACTTTGAGTGAGCTCCGAAACAATAAAAAATACATGTACCCTCAATAGTTGTAAATTGAGAAAAATTTGTTGTAATTTAACCTTTTACATGTATAAACAAGGCTACTTTGATGAAAGATATTAACTATTTTAAGAAACTTTATTGGATATTAAGTCATCCATGTTTGTAATAATGAACAGAAGAATCTTGCTAGGCAGATTTTCACTGGTAACCGCATACAAAATTACGCACAAAGTACATGTCACATTTGGCTGGTTGTCTGTACTATATACTAAAATGTAAAAACTGCCTTTTTCCTCAAGGGCTGAAGTTCGAGTAATTCTTTTTTTTTATTCACTTCCCCTCTTACATCAAAACCGAGTTGGAATATATCCACCATTAATTTGGTGCGACACTCCATGTTCAATGCTCCCCGTGCTATTTACTCTTCTGTCATTAACAGCACAATGGGAGCCTTTTGTGCACCTAGCCCTTCGGATCACAACTCGGTGTGAAAATGGAACAAACACACCAAGCAGGGATTGCTTTCATACTCGGAATATCCAAGAAGAAAAAAAAATCCACACGGCTAAAAAAATGTTGACTCCTTTACTGGCCTTTCAGCTTAACATTTTTAATTTGCTTTGAGGGAAACTTAGCCGACAAGAATGCAATGGGCGGTTATTAAACCTACATGTACCCCCCCCCCCCCCCCCCCCACAAAAAAGACTTTCCTTCACCTTTCTCATGATCTTTTACAAGGCCTTGTTCAAATAAAGGCTGTATTCTTTTCTTGGGCGAAGGCGGGAAAATTCAGTGCTTTGTTGTTCGGGATTGTTTGCGGAAAGTCTTTCATGGATTTGCAGGAGAAAGGTGCAAACAATGTACTACATATAATGTACCTACATGTACCACTAGCCTAGTCTGCCACAGAGCCCACAGATTTTCTGTCTGAAACTGTGAACATAATGTGGATACATACGTGTACATGTAGTCCTTTCCACATTGGTTTTAGTCAAGAATTTTTTGTGAGACTTTCTTGGGGAAGCAGATTTTACTTAAATTTGTTCCAAACTCATCCTGTCTCCTCTCTAAGAATTGACAAATAAAGAAAATGAATTTGTCCAAAAGTAGACATTTTGTCACATAAGCCTCCTGTGCAAACATACACTCTGTGCCAAGTTGCAACAGTTAAGAGCTTCCAGCCTACATAAAGCAGGATTGACTGGCTGTGACTGTTTATGTAGCTTGATACAGCTGGGATTTGACTGGAGGTGATTGATAAGCCAGCTGTGCCTGCCACTTGCCTCCTGCAATTTGACTAGTGCAAGAGCTTGCTCAAAATATGATCTGACTGTTGGTGACTAGCTTTTGTAGAAGGCATGGCAGGAGAAGTGGATGGAGCTTTTGACTGTCTGTGACTGTTTAAATACTTGAAGGGTTAAAGGTTGCTTCAACTTATACATGGTATCATGAATTATAGACATTCTCTGTGTGCAAGGCATCTGTAGCATGGACAGCATTGTCCTTCAGTAAATACAGACATACACAACTGGCAATGTACCGGTAACGCTGTACACGTATAATTTGTTCAATGATGAGTCTGTTTTTTATGCAAAGCAAGCCCAGTGCACGGCAACACCGACTGCGTGTTGCGTGCCAGGCGATCTACGACCACTATGTGCTCTGGGCAAACAAGGGGCGGTTTGTTTGTGTTTGCGAGTCGGATTGGTGGTGAAATGAGAAGGAGAGGCCCCACAACAATGACGACGATGAGGCACGGGTGGTGATACCGAGCTGAATTCATTGACCGTGTTATGAGGTTATTCATGGGGAGCAAACCGGTTGGCACAGGGTGTCATCTTCAGTCCCCGAAGCACGGACGACAGATTTTCACACAAAATTAAATTCCATCTTGGATTTTGATGGGTTCTGTTATGATAACCTATCGTTTCCACCAAAGGACGAAATTGGACGCAGAGAGTTCTCACTCTGATTTCACAACTGATTTTTTGTATTATGCAAAAATATATTTTCGACAAACTTGAATACTTATACAGGCTATTAAGCATTAATTATATTTCGTACACAAAAATGGGTTACCAGGCAAAATGCAATAAGTTTTATACTGCTTGCAAACTGGTTCTCAGCCGATTTTGGCTTATTTTCCTAACAATATCTTACACACATGTACGTGTATGTTTGCATGTTTTACTATTGCAAATTATAAAAGTCTTGTACACAACACTGCACAAAATATTTTACCAAAACTTCTTTTGGTTGAGGTCAAATTGTGAAATAAACAACTTTTATCAACATGTCTACTAAAATAGATGTGTGCACGCTAATGTCGACAATGTGGACAAGCACACATGCAGTCCACAGTTGTCGCGATATGAACATAACTGTCAATTTTCGTCTTCATTTGATTTCCGAAACGGCAAAATCTAATAAAACGGTGGCGCAGCACTGGCACACGCGACAGCGGAATCTCGGGGACGGTAAGGGGGGAAAAATAAATAAATAAATCTTGGGAATCTTAATGAAATCAACGCAAGGTTCTGTGATCTTTTAGCGAGGAGCGAGGGGTTACAGAGAGGCAAGGAATGCTGCCACGGTCATCTGATCAAGCGAAAGCAGCTGTATTTTTCGGGAAAATTTGATCAGGTCCTGCAAATTCAACAAGACGACCCTGCTTCCCAAAGTGCGAGGTGTATGAATCAAGCATCATCTATTGAAGGTGCTCAAACACAACACTTGTCAAGGATGTGACGTGCCTGGCAAACAGCTCTGTGCGCAGACAAGAGAGGGCATTTTGTACCACTTTCGAGAGCCCAGTCGACAGGACAAACCGCGTGCCCTTACCGGTTCTCCGTGCGTATAGCGCGAAGTACGCACGACTTATTTCATTCTGCATGTGCACAAAGCCATAGCGTCTTCACGTGAGCGTTAGGCGCCGTTAATAGCGAATCCGTATATGAATGCGCGCAAGCGTTGACACAACGCATATGTGCGCGCGGTTGCTATTATTCGCCGGTTCAATGCGTGACAGCGCGTAGCTGCAATCGGCTGAATGGGAATGTATCCCGGATGCTGATTGCAGGCGCAATTCAAAATATGACTCGGCAACTTTTGAATTGAAATGGAGATCCTAGAATATTATTTACACTGTACAACATTCACAGAGCTAAAACTTCATCAAGTTTAGCACCTGTCTTATGATTCTGAGCGCTTTTTGTTGCTTCAAAAGAAAAATATGCACCAATAACAAAGGCAGGTTTCCAGCAAAACAAATGCTAACAATTAAGTTGGTTTAAAGTTACTTTACTTCATAGTGTTTTGTGAACAAAAAAGGCCTTCTGGTCCTCATAGATATCTGTTCTCTCCGTCTGTTGATTTGTGACCTTTCAAAAGATCAGTCTAACCCCTACCCCCTCCAGTTTCTATTACCTAAATCATCAATTTTTGAAGTGCATTTACTTTTTTTTTTACCAATCTAAACAAAATGACAGATAGCCAGCCCCGTATGCGTAAAGCTATTCTTAGAAAGCCTAGCCCAGCAGGATTTATTACTCTTGGAATGTCACCTTTTTAATTTCAACGAATTCCCAACGGGGTTTCTGCTGCCTCCGTGAGAGTGAAACGCAAAAAGCAAAAACAAAAAAAGTGGTATGTGAACTCTTACGAGATGCCATTGTGATATGTGTGCGTGCCTCGCGACCAATGCGTGCACTATCGTGTGAGATTTGACGCCCCGAAAAACGCAATTCTGTCAAGCTATTAAAACTAAGGCAGTTTTAAAAAGAAGTACAAGGTACCTCAAAGTATCTGAAGGGAAAAAATGCCATATGTCATGTACAGCAACCTTTCCCAACTAAAATTTTCCAATTTAAAAAGGTATGTGTACAGATCGTGTTCTCTAACAAGTTTGAAGTCTCCTAACAAATTTAACTTGTACGTTTCATTTAAAATGTGGAAAAACTCTCCTTTTATTCTATGTTAGGGGTCTTCAACCCTATGAATAAAAAAGGTTTTAGTTTGGGTTCCTTTTTGCACACAAATTAGCAAGTACACTGGTCCCGCCAGACCCCTACATAAGTGATTCAGATTTGGGGCAGGAGCCAGTCTACTCTGCGAGAACTGATTTGCGGTGCCGCAAACAATTCAAACTTTGTAAAGTAATCATTCCTAAACTAAACAAAGGCCATTTGTTTCAATTGTTGTCTCATTCAAAAATGAATTACTCCTTGACTTGCTGGATCTATTTTGAGAGTGAAACTAGGAACATAGCACGTCCAGTACATCTTTCAAATTCCGCAAACCCTCCCGACTTTTCTTCCCCAGATTATTTGCTGTTATTTGTACTGAATACTGGGCAAATACGGAACGTGGGGCCACGACTTTTCAGCGAGCCAAAGCAGCTGGTGGGGTTTTAATATAAACACCCTGACTCCATCGACTCCCCGAATAAAAAGAAATAATAAAACGTGACTATGAGACCAGAGCAACCCACTGAAGGAGACAAAAAAATTCTCCAGTTCACTGACGGGGGAAGGAAAAAAAACAACCTAGAACGAGACACCTGGTCTTTTGTAAGACAGCGCCGGCTAAAGATATTTTTTAAAACTGGGCTGGATCTTTGGAAAATTCTAAGCACCACTGTAACTTCTACATGACTTTTAATGTGGGCATGGTCTTGTTGTCAAATTTATGAATGTGGAAAATGAAAAAAAAATTAACTCACAGTTTCTACGCATGGTTCACTGTTATCCCCTATCTGTACATTGTAAACAGAAATAAATAAATAATAAATAAAAATAAATAAAAACAATAAATAACAACAAATTGAATGTTGAATATTGTGTCATGAAAAAAAAAACATTTTTGTTAACATGTGATTTTGTCTGATGATTGAGCACAAATTTACCGTCACTCTAAAATTTGTTTCATCGACTAGATTAAAGCCCATCAAATTCACATGGTAATATGTTGACGAAAAATTATGAAAAATAGCAACATTCATACTTGTAAATTTGAGGCAAGGAATGGGTTTAAAATTAATTTACTAAAAATTAGCTTTGATAAGAACTTTTGTGGAATAATTGTGTCGGGGAGATACATGTATGTAATAAATGTTTTTGCTTTTCAACAAACTATTTTATGTTTATTAAGGCAAAAACTGACATTGAAAAAGCTTTGGTAAATTCAGGACGATCCTTCAACATTTCAAATGCATCTTTTGATTCATACAGACATCCACGTATACATCCCTTAATAACGTTCAAAATTTGTAAACAATTATCTCGAGAGCGGTTTCGTAAGGTGCCAATACGAAGCAATTTTCGTAATGCATCCTCTGTCATGTCAAGTATCAATTCTCCCGGTTGAAATGTACCGAGGGCATAGAAGGCGGGCAAATTCAGCGCGTAGGAGTAAAGTGTTTACATGCGCCGAGTAAGGCACGAAACCGAGATAGATGTTCCCGCAATCGCCAACAAAAAGAAATCTTATCGGTCGCAACATGCGATATACATCAAAGACATACTGGACCAAGTCAATATCCGAACATTATCTGCCCACAAACTGACAAACTTAATTCGTCAACCGATCAGAAAAGATGTTGTAAAGAGAACTAGAGCCAATTTGGGCAAATAAATAGCGGACGCAGTTGGTGATTTGAAATTTGTTGTATCTTTTTCTATTTTTTTCCCCGGAAATTACAAAAATACACTTTTATTTCGTGACAGTTAATAATACAAATAGATAATCATGATTTGGTAGAAAGAAATTAATACCGGTGAAATTTACCGTTTCAATGTTTCTGCCACATTTTAGCCTCTACTGCGACACTAACAAAAAGTACAACTCCCCATCCCAAAACAGAAAAACCCACAAGAATGCTAAATCGAATCTTAAGAATTTCTTTACTCAAAAACACACCAAAAAAACCCACAAGATAACATCTTAAGACCATTCATCAACTGCCACTGGCAGTAGGAAATTGCACTGCCCTGATACTTTGAGTTCCACCATGTAAAAGAAAAACTCTTTGGGCATTTTTCAGACTGCACTAAAAAGACGGGCCGAATGCCCTCAAACTTTCCTTGGAGAAGCCTAATTCTGGAGCCCTGGCTGCCTTAGTTGTTATCACAAGACTTGACCTCATCCTAATTGACCTAGTTGACCTCAGAATAAGGACAACCCTTTCCATTTGGGGTTCCAGTGGGGAGTAAGGGAGTAAGGAGCCCCAGGGATAAATCTCTAGTTTAATTGGCTTACTTGCCCTTATTAGTGCAAAGGGCCTTGTTATATAGGGATCCAGTGCAGGGATTTCTATTTTCTTAGATAACGCTGTGACACAGTGACCTAGAAAGCATTATCATGGCATTTCACTGGGGACTAGGCCTTTGTCCTGAAAGTTTTCATACTACTCCAAGTGGTAATAGAATCAAAGTTGAAAAAAGCATCACTGAATGGAGGAATGGTCGATAAACCTTAATCTGAAAGCCAATTAGATTTGAACAAATTCCTTATTTTCAAAAGAGGGAAAATATTCACTCCATTTTCAAACTAGGGACAAATTGATTTAGAATGAAATTTGTTCTTTTTTAACAGCATTGCTCCATGGAGGAATGGTCAATAACACTTGTGTTTACCTTCAACTGAAAGCCAATTAGATTTGAACAAATTCCTTATTTACAAAAGAGGAAAAACTCACTTTATTGAAGTGAAACTTCCTCCGTCCAACTCAAACTATGGACAAGTTGATTTAGAATGAAATTCCAGATTCAGCCAAAGTAAAAATTTGAAATATTTATCAGTTTTCCAACCTGCAAGATTTTAAGGAAAATTAGTCGTTTTGCTCAGAAACCAGACTTATTTATTTCCTAATTAGGGCCTAAATGTCAGATTTTAAAAATCATCTATGATTAATTGTAGTTTCTAAACTAAACGTGTATCACTTTTGCATTTTTTAAGGGGGAAAAGTTTATTCTGCCAAATTTCAAACAATTTTGTTTTAGTAGATCTCATGAAGAACTTTTTGGACAAAATTCTTTGGAAGTTATACATTTCGCCTTTACCCAAAGAAATCCCTCAAAAAAATGGAGAATCATTCGACCAGTGACTGTAAGATTGAATGCTATAATATGTTTTTTATTTGCAATATGTATGCAGTTGAATCATTTGTTGGTTATCACATGTGCATTCTGCGCAACGCACCGCCCGTGCATGACACGCTGGCTCCGGAATTATTTCTGACCTTTGCGGAGAAAAATTCTGGCCTGCTGAGCAGATGTAGATTGCGCTGAATTAACCGTTTGTCCGTCTCAAATGCTTGCGGATTAAAAAATAAACTGATTCGGCACGGAGGCACGAATGCGTTTTCGTCATCGGAACGCGAAGTTAGCCACAAAAAAAAATTGAAATGCTGCCGATAGTGTCCTCTCGAGAAAATTTACCGTCCTGTTCGCAAGATTTTCTTGATTTATTCAGAGGACGGCAGAGGATAAGCAAAATTGGAAGGGGAGTGGAAAGACGAGGGGAAAAAACTGTCAGGATTTTGAGAAGTTGGCATCGTAGCCCGGCTAAAACAGCATGCTCGCTTCACAGGAATGCAGGGTCAAGTGAAAAAAATGCACGAGGGGTTTGAATTGCTTGGGCTGTTTTATTTGACCGTTTGCTCGGCATGCCATCACACGATGGCCGTTGCTCAAGCTTTACATTGCCAACAGGCAAACAAAAAAGAGAGGGGAAAAGACAAGGGAATAAAAAAAAAGGTAGAACAAAATAGAACCTGGCTTTTTTTTCTTTCGCAAGCGGAGTAATACATAATGTACACAGTGGAGGGAACGTGTTGGTCGTGGACGGAGCAGGGAAAGAGAGAAGATAACGCCTGAAGGGTTAGGTTAGATCACTTGCGAGCTTTCTCGCTGGCATGGGGGCTGTGATTTCATTCCTGACAGAAGGGGGAAAAAAGCACTTTTGACGATTTTGTTCATTTTTTTTCTCCTTTCTTCGTTCTGCACGCTCCACATGTAATTGCAAGCCGAACGCACCTAGGTCAATTTTACTGGTGGCAGAAGCGGGATTTTTTTTTCACACTGACCCCGTGCTATTGGGCTGATGAAATACATCATCCAGAGAAATGAGCTGAACCGAGTTTAACCTACACTGGAAAGGAATTTAAATGTCTTCCTTATATTTTCTGTTTATGCCAATTTTGAATTGAGAAATATTACAATTTAATTCCATGTTAACACGCAAGGAAACTGCGAGAATTGCGATCAGACACAGTTTTGGTTGAAAGCCAAATTGTTTTCTTAATTACAAGTTGTAAATAAAAAAAAATGAAAAACAGATAATTGCACTTAAGTTGTTTTTATAAAGATGGTTAACAAGTTTTACACTTACACAAAATGGACGTGTTCTTTTGAAAAATGTCTAAAAAATTCAGATGACAATACTTTTGAGATACTCTATCTGTCTGCAAAAATAGATAAGGATAGATACCCCAAAATAACAAAAATGATAATGTTGAAAAAAAAATAACCAAATTAAATTTGAATTTCTTGTGTTACCAGATGAACTGAACCTCAAGCACAAAAACTTCATGTCTACGTGTCAAACATTTTAGTTGCTAATGAGAAACCAATTCTATTATTTTCCTTCGTTTTTTCTAACCAATCAAATTACTCGCAGCTGTCACAGGATCGAACTGCGAATCAAAAAAAAAATAGCATCACACAGGAGCAGCTGTGTCACAAGCATTGAATTTACTCTAGCAACTGTCGTCACGGAGACGGTCACCCCGGCAACCGGCAGGTATGGAATGTCAGCGGGTCAGCAGCAAGGCTCCAGTAATTAAGGGGCAACCAGTGAGAGGCTCACCTAGGGGGCTTTTGTGTACGGTTGGCATCAGCGTTGTTGACCCGAGTTTGGTTTTTATTTTAAGGGGGGGAGGGGAGAGACGGTGGATAGAGTTTGCGTGTCATCTTATCGTGGTCAGATCATGCACAGGAATGTCGTATTAAACCCGCAATAAAACACTGAATCAACAAACACTATATTTCGCAACCAGCGTGCACAGGAACGTCAAAACTGAAGAAAGAAATTAATAGCCGACAGAAATGGAGCTAAATATAAGATGGTGCATTACAGAACTTTTGATGACTGGTATGAACGGAATGTCATTCCACAGCTTGATGCCCCAGACGATATTTGATGATTTTGGAGCCGAGAGTCACGTCCAAAGTTTCCAGACGAGAAATTGTGGTTGCACGGTAATGGCCAATGACTTTTTTTGGTGGCTTTTCCAAACAGTGTGGAAAACCTTTGTTGTTTTTCTGATTATTTTTTTCTGTTTTCTTTTTTCTTGTTCTTCTTACCCTCATCAAAATTTTCCTTTTTTTTTGGCAGTCCCTCTCGAGTACATTATAAAGAGAACTTCATTAGGAATGTTAACGCTTTTCTGAACAGTTGTGGAAAAGCCATTGTTTTTGTTCTGATTATTATTTTATTATTTTTTCCTTTCTTGTTCTTCTAACCCTCATCCCATCCACTTGGCACAATTTTCCTTTTTGTGGTCCCTCTCGAGTAATCCGAGTAGATTATAAAGAGAACTTCATTAGGAATGATAACGCTTTTCCCAACAGTTTGGAAAAGCCTTTGTTTTTGTTCTGATTTTTTTTTGGGGGGGGGGTTGTTCTTCCAACCCTCATCCCAAACACTTGGCACAATTTCCTTTTTTGCTGTCCCTCTCGAGTAAATTATAAAGAG